AAGTTTAACTAAAAGGTAATGATAAAAGAATTTTTAATACAATGGAAAACCAACCTAGAAATAGTACACTGCCACCACTATATTCTGCTGCACCTATTACTCATTCCCGGTCAAATCTCTCTCGACTATTAAATACTAACAATATTGCTGAACCTCATCAACCACCTAACCCTAATGATGATGATTCATCTTCTGATTCAACCACTAGAAGTGTTAGAAGTATTCAACAAATGTATTCAAATATGGGCAGATCTTCCTCACAAGTATCTCGACATCAATCATGCCAACCATCCACCACCTGTTTCTTATCTCGCCAGCCTTCCTTTACCCCTCAAAATGAACCAACTTTCTACCCTGAATCTAGATATCATTCTAGATCGCACTATACTGATTATAATCGATCAATATCTTCAGCTCAACAACCTTCTTTAAGATCACGATCATAAGAGAAATCACCAACACGTGATAGATCATCCAATCAAAATTGTACACATAGTCAAATTAGTATGTATATAAAGGCTTTTTTTTTAACATTGTCATTGATTTTTTTTTTTTTTTTGGAAAAATTTTTTTTTTTTTATTTATTTTTATTGTGTGCATTAAGCAAACTACAACCGCCCTGATCGCTCTGATCATTCTGACCACCCTGGCCGCCCTGACCACCATGACCACCATGACCACCATGACCACCATCAGTATCGTCAGCAAGTTGATGAGCCAACTTAAGTATTTATATTTAATGCTCAAAAGACTTGAGAAAAGTACAAATAAAATTAAAACCAGGCTAGGTTGCCTGGAAAGGCATCAAGAAGAACAAGAGAATGATCTCTCTGCGCAAGTGATAGATGTAAGTGTTTTGGGTTAGCAACAATTTAGATCTAGTGTGTTTAAGTGATATATAGTGTTTAGGATCTAGTGTGTTTAAGCAGTATATAACATCTAGTATATAATATATATATTGTTTTTTAAAAATATATATAGGATGTGTTACTTGCGTGGCCAAGCAGCTCTTCCTGTATAACATATATCCTAGTCAAAGTGATTTGAAGGATGCGCTTAAACAATGCCTTGAAGAAAGGTATCCTGAGTTTATGCATAGTTTAAGTTCCAATCAATATACCAATAGGTTTTATGATGCATGGTTCAGCCTGTATGTATCGATATCTATCGTTTTTTAAAATATATTTCTTTTAATTATAACTTATTTACTAATTTTTACAATAGCTTTTGCAAAAAATGAAGAACCTGCAAGGTGCATCAGTTCAAAACATAAGGACAGCAGTCTGGCACATGTTCGGTTGTGAAAGACTACTACCATTAAAAAAAATGTTGCACCAGTTGATATAGTAAGTTGGAAGCAAAGTGAAGAAGTTTTGGATTGTTATCATGTGCTCTTTGAAATGAATGAGAAAGGTGTCTTTTGGGTATCAATAATTGTGAGAGCAGCCTTTTTTGAGATTGCTGTACCTACACTCTCAAATGAGCATTGCACTTTTACACTCGCAGTCTGTGATATTTTACTTAATCCTAAGTCCAGAAGTGTCACATGTTCGAAAAAACATCTTATGCATCATATCGAAAAATATCTTGTAAGTGCCATTATTAATTGCATATGCTTTATTAATAGTAATTAATTAATTATTTTTTAATATAGAACAATTTCAGTAATGGTGGTCCATTATATGAAACAGCCGAATCGATACTAAACAATGAGAATCATGGTTCTTCATGACAAGCATCGCCCCAGTATGACCCGTTGCCCTAGTATGAACCTGAAGCAGGTTCTTCATCAGTTCAGCAATTATCACAACATCAAACAGAACTTTCACAGGAGGATGCTGATGATCTATTTGGTTGCAATGATTAAATTTTTGCTTCAAATGTTTTTTTTTGAATTAGTTTACATTTGCTAATAGTTATTATATAATAAATTATAATAAATTTTATTATTTATGTTATAATATGATTATACAGTTTTAGTAACAGTAATAAATTTATATTATGTATTGTAATTGGCTTTATAAATAATATGTTTTATAAATATCTTATTAGTGATATCGTCTTTTAAAAAAAGTACTTGATTAAACTGGTTATATATCGATTGATAACCTTATTAGATATATATTGATTGTTTAAAGCTAGTTATATATCGGTTTATACCAAAATCAATATAACCTAGCAGGGGTGATTAGTATTAATATATATCTAATAGGTTACCAATCGCTATATATCTCTACATAAAATTTCCTGATAATAGTAACCTATATTTATTAAAATATAAAGGATATATTAGAAAATAGAAATATCAAATTGCAAAATAAAACATATCATTATATGTAGCAATATAATACCAAAATACCTGATATAGATTCAAATTAAAGTTGAAATCCTGGATATAAGAGCTATTATCTGTAGGAGTGAATAATCTGTTTTGCGCCTGTTAGAATAAATAATAATAATAATAATAAGAGTATAAATTATTTGTATTTGTTTAGTTGATTTTATAACTAGAATGCTCCCTATCATCACAGGGCAATGACACTTAAGTAAGCTTGTATATCCACAATTTTTATGTTGTAAAATAATTTGATTTATCATAGGCAGCATTTAAATCAAGTGAGAAGGTATATCAATATTAAATTTCTAAAAATAAGTTTTATTATCAGTACTTGTTTTATATTTAGTAAATATATTAAATTATTTATTTCTTTGAAAAAAAAACCAAACCTGAATCTCAATAATATGATTTTGATACAATTAAAATAACGATTGCATGCTTGGTTGCCCATTCTTGTCATGATCAAACATGTTGTAAAGACAATTGCTTTGGAAAAATATGTTAAATGACTTCTTTTGGCATTTATATTATTTATTAACAACTTTCCTTTTTCTAATCTAAGATTATAATATACAAAGTCCATTAATTAACATGTTTTCTTCTTAAAATTTAGTCAATATATTAATAACAAATAACAACATCTGTGAACAACAATGAAAATAAAAAAACTAATTAATTATAATATTTTTTTTAAAAAAAAATCTAAAATTTAAATAAAAAAAACTTATCTTTATTTTATCTAATAAATTTTCTTAAGCTAATTTTGGCCGAATTTTCAATTTAAATTTTTTATAGAAAATTCGTTCACCTTATCACCACATTGAGGTATCAGCAATAGATCAGAAAAAAAAAGTTCGTATATAAAAAAATGCTAGGTTAGATGAGATAAAATCTCTATTAACCTAGAAATTTTTTTATAACTAGCAATGAATTTAATCTAGACTATTGCACCTGTCACCGGTTTCTAATGTTTACTCTGAAAAAAACTCAGTGTTAAAAATCTTAGCAGCAAAAAAATAAATTTTTTATACAAAGGTAGAGCCTTAAATTAAATACAGTATTTATACCAGAGCACCTGCTCATCTAGTCAGGTGGTTAATATAAAATACAAAGGATTTAATTCAGTTTAACCAATATTACATCTTCACCAGAGCATCTGCTCATCTAGTCAGGTGGTTAATATAAAATACAAAGGATTTAATCCAGTTTAACCAATATTACATCTTCACCAGAGCACCTGCTCGTCTAGTCGGATGGTTAGATCCAAATACAGAAAAACTGGTAAGGACAGCCTTTGTTGCTAAGGGTTAGGGTTAGAAGTTAGGTGCAACATTCTAAATTATTATTATCAAAGCTAGGTGAAGTAAAAGTTCAATATCAGAGGTATAGCAAGTGTGTAAATGTAAACATTTGTTTTTTTATACGTAGATAATTGTTAGATGCACGTTACGTAATTCGTTACCCTTAGATTATGGCACAATCACTGGTTTGTAATATGATTGGCTAGTCAAAACTCGACTATCAATCAAGAAATTTGGAAGTTCCTTTACTTTTTGCTTTTTTTTTGCTTTGTCAATATTTAGAGCAGAATAAATTGATGGCTTCACTTTTTTGCTACGTATATATGTATTAGTTTTTTTTTTGACAAAGTATTCGAAAAACAAGGTTTTAAGTGTTTATTATCCAAATATCTTCACCTTAGATGAATTTCTTACTATGCATTGCAGCAACCAAATTAAATTGATTCAGAAGGGTGATGAAGAAGATTATACAAGCTTACTAAAAACCCTATGTTACTCGTTAGGAAGTGTTTCAGAAAAAGAATATGTATACAGAAGTATACTTTAGTCACATACTAAACTTGCTAAGTGAAGATGGTTCGTTAAAAAACTAATCTAAAATTT